ATGAGAAGGTAAAAAATATGCTTTTTCTGGTTGGGGGGGGGCACAATTTTTCTTTAGGATGCTACTTTTTGAATATAAAGAAATAAATATTTTTACAATATTCCTAATCATAAAAATTCATTGATTTTCATTAAAAAAGGGCAAAACCCGAAAAAGCCTTTCAAACGTTTTTCTAGCTTTTTAGAAGTGTTTTGACTCGGAATATGACTGAATTTCATCAGAAAACTATGAAAATCTCTCTGCAGTCACTAAAAAAGAGTCTTTACTTTTGTTCGCAAAGAGATAATTGTCGTGGCAAACAAAGAGCTAAATTCCTTTCAAACCCTTAAAAATGCCACAGAATGCGGGAACAACAAAAAGTTGCTGGCTATTTTAACCTTAATAAACTCGGTACCATCCCAGATCACAGGTCAGGTCCACAGATTAATTTCAAGAAAGTGCAGATAGATCATAATACAGAATTATTTGCAAGCCGAAACCGCTAGAAACTAGATCTGTTCATTTTAATAAGATGCCAGCAACTTTGGTTGATCCCCATATCTTGTGGCATTTTTAAGGGTTTGAAAGGAATTTAGCTCTTTTTGTTGCCACGAGAATTAATCTCTTTTTGCGAAAACCAAAAACTCTTTTTTGAAAAGACTCTTTTTAGCCTTAGAGAGAATTTAGCCCTTTTTGTCTCAATCTTGTTGTTAAGATCATAAAATACACGACGGGACAGGTAAAACTTGTACGCAATACTTAAAAAAATTTGCCTGCGGCGCTTTGTACCCGCACTAGAAACCATAACGATGCATTCCGGCCAATCGGCAAAAACAATGTCGCGGGTGGGGTTCGAACCCGGGGGCCAAGTCTTCCCAGTATAGCGTGCTAACCACTAGGCCAACCGGGAGACTGGAGGCCTGCGTTGGGGGAGCTAGACGTGTCCCCCTGTCCGCGGACTGGGGCCTGGGAAGGGGAGGGCGGCGCCCCGTATGGCGACGGTTTAAAGTTATAATATCTCAAAGGAGAAGCATTCTTTCGATACAATTTCTTCTTTACTTTGCTTGGCAAGGTCTAATGCATATTTGAGCAAAGTTTCAGCCCAAACGGACATCATTAACCCTTGTTTTGGCCCCAATTTAGCTATTAAACTTAAAAATTCAATATAAATTTTTTAAAAGCCTAATTTGAAAAAAACGCTTCTTCCTCACCTTCATTTACATCAAGCCAATATATGTGGAAAATTTCAGCTCAAACGGACTATGGGAAGGCACTTTTTGACGACTACAAAGGTTTTGCGTACGCACACACATACAAACGCAGACCCCCCCCCCCCCCCTCGAAACGCAATTTAAATCGGCTGTTAAAATTCGAAATTTTACTTTTTTTTCAAAATTTAAAAGCTTATAGTATGTAAAAAGTGTCGCCGGTTCCGATGGTGTATTCAGTTTTGCGATCCGATGCGTGGTTATTTTTTAAATCCGGGAAAGGACCTCAAAAGAGTCGTATGGGGGGGTATCTCAAACCAAAAAGGGGTTAGCGGGCTCCGCCCGCTAACCCCGATTAGGATATGGGATTTAAAGGAAAAATTTGGGCCTTGATACTGTTTTTTGATCGCGATTTTTCCAGATTGTTTCCGTGATCTCGAAAGACGTCGACTTTTCCCACCTCGAACTCGACGACATCTTCTATCTCAGCGAGATGTGGATGGAGTCGTTGCGCACCCTGCATCAAGATGAAGAAGCCGTCCATTTGGCTACAAGGTGAGAAATAATCTACTATATATAAATTTCTAATGTCCGTACGCCCGTCCGACCGACCGACCGACCGGGAATTCAGCCAAATTTTGCATTCAAATTCCAAATTCAAATTGTGTGATGCGGGAGACCAGCGCTGAAACCCCGCGTAGCGGGGGGTCAGCGCTGGTAATAATTAAAAATTGTCTATTATTTAGAATCTTTGCCCTCCACCGAAGCGTCGAGCCACTACTCTCCTCCAAGCTCCGCGAGCTCGTCTTCGATCTGGAGACGATCGAGTGGGACCACGTGTCTGTGGATACAAAAGCTGCCCTCGGCTACGAGCTGTCGAAGCTGATCGAGGTATAAAACATTTGTATTCTTATTGATTTTTTAGAACGTTCAAATTAAATTTTAAAATTGTTTTTGAACAAAAAACATAAAAAAATTGTCTCATTACTCTAATTTCAGTGCAAAGAGATTGTCGGTTGGTGGCCGCTGTGGAAGTTGATGTACACGATTGCGCGCGCGATTGAAGGTTTGTATTAATTAAGGATACGGAAAAACTACTGCCTAAAATCTTCTTAATTATTCTTTTTTTTTCAGGCCCCGTCACCGTGCCCATCGTCTCCAAAATGCTCGAAAACGGGGCTGGTATGGACGAGGTGCCTTCAAATGCGCTGTCCGTCTTGGTGAAGGCGCACGAGAAGCTGGGCGACAACCAGTGCTGCTCGCAGAATAAGGTACAATTTTAAAATGCTGTTTTTTGCGGCCTACGATTTAATAAGTTATTTCAATTGAAAGGATTAAAAATTAAAAACTTAGCTTTTAAATTGGTTGCTCGATTTAAAATTTCTTCTGTTCAAAAAGGTAACTAAAAATTTAAATTTAGGGCGAATTCCTCGGCTTCTACATCAACGAGCTGTGGTCGGCGCTCTCCGTGCCCGGCATCCGAGAGCTGCTCCTGGTATGAATTCCGGTCATTTTCCTTGATTAATAATTTTTTCCAGGACGATCGGAACAAGTGGATGCGCACCAACGTGCACCAAGAGACCGCCCAGCTGCTCCACTGCGCTTTTGGACGGTACACGAAAAAGCGCAAGAATTTGGACGAGCATGGGCAGCCGCCGAAATGGGAGGACAAGGCGAAGGCGGACATCTTGGAGGCGGCCATCGGCCTTGCGTTGCCGTATCCACTGCCTGATTATGATGATGCGGTGAGAGGCTTTTCATGGCGAGGAATAATTACTTCGAAAATCAGAATTTTGAATATCACTTTTGCAACGTAATTTTTGGAAAGTCTATGATGGCTTTTTCTATTATTCTCGACTACAAAGTTTTTGAAATTTGAAAAAAATGATTTTTGAAGTTCGAAAACATGACTTTTCGAAGCTAGAAAATGCCGAAAATGATTTGTCGGATGAATGGTGGTAGAAATAACAAAAAACTATGTCTTTTGAAATATTTGTCAGCAATTCATTACTTTTAATTTGAGGAAAAACTCGGCCACGACGTCATCGACCTCATCACGCAGCGTTTCCCGGAGCTCATGTCGATTTCGGAAGAGCAACGGGACGAGGTGACGAACTTCGACGCGTGGCTGAAGGTGGCCGAGCTCTCGTAAGAAGAAATTTAATTTTGGAACTCTTTTTTTTTAGTGAAACTCAGCCAATGATCGAGCGCTCACCCTTCATGTCGTCCATCTACTACACGCTGGGCCTGCACCATTACAAGTAAGTTCAAAATGTCCAATGTTAAAGGCCCTTCTCTAGGCTCAACGACGACGGCCACAACGACCAGGCAGCCAAGTGGATGACCCTGTTCCTGACGTCGTCCGGCCACACGGCCCACCCGCACGTGATCCACGGCGCCTGGTCGGTGCTGGCGCACACGCTGGTCGCCCAGCTGTTCAGGCTCGACGACCGGGCCAAGCTCCAGAATTGGCGCTACATGTTGCTGCCCTGGCGGTTGGCCAAGAAGTGAGTGTTCGCATTTTAATTCGTTATTCATTTTTATTAGTTTATGATAGTTTTAATCTAATTTTGTACCAGGGCGAAAAACGAGGACGGCACGACGCCGTTCCTACACGCGCTCTCGCTCTACCAATTGGCATCTCGATTTGGCAGGCTGGCTCGCTCGGTTAGTGAAGTTGGAGGGGAATCAGAATTTTTTTTATAAGGATCCATTTTTTGACAGATCTAGAGGAACATTTCTCAGGTCTTCTCACCTTTTTTAAACGTCAATTTTTCAAAGAAAAATTTTTACATTGAAATTGCCATATTTTTTTAAGCCTTCTGAATAGTTTTTTTCAGTGTAAATGCAGCTAAATTTTATTACAAAAGCTAAAAGATTTATCAAAAAAACTAGCATTTTTTGCATTTTGAATTGAATTTTACTGCTTTCAGACGAAATCCACAGACACCCGCCGAAGTTGTCTACGGGACGTCGAGCAAATTCGGGAAGAAGCCGTGCTGGCCCTGGAGCAAGCCACTGACCTACCCTCGCACCAGCGCGACACCTTCCTCTGGGTGGCCTTTCTCCTGCAAGCGAAGCTTGCCTGGAAGACTGATCGTCAGAAGAACCTGCCAAAGGTATGCGTTTGAAGTTTTTTTACTGAAACCTAAATTTTCGGGAAAATTCGAAATTACATGTCAAAAAATTTAATTTTTGACGTTTTCAAAAGCATAAGCGGAAACATTGCTCTATTTCTCTCTAGGTCCTCGACTCGATCTACGAATCGGCGTGTGCCCTGCAGTTGAGCGGCTCCCACTACCCGGCCAAGATCTCCATCAAACACCAGCGCAACATCGAGCCCGTCGAGGTGCACTACCATATGCACTCGTTTGTCTGGAAGTATTTGAAAGGGTGAGGTGTAATTTTTTATTTTTATTTTTCCGGCCGTAAAAACTTATTTCTTATATTGTAAAATTAAAATGGATTTTTTAGGAAAGTCTACACGCGGGAGAACCTCATCCATTGCCTCGCCTACCTTCGCGCCATTCAGAACCATGGCGTCTGCCGCGGCTCCACGCCCACCCTCTTTGCTGTCGGCGTCGATCTGCAGCTGCTCGTCCATGGGATGATCGACAAAGTTGTTGCCCAAGAAGAAAGGTATAAAAAGGCAAAAAAAATAATATAATTGGATTTTGCGGTCCTTTGGCATTATCGGGGGAGGGAAACACATTTTTTTTCCTCTTAAACCCAAAAATGCTTGGAAAAATTGATTAACAATATATATTTTTCGACCAGGATTCCGGGTTTTTAATTTTATCTTTTTATTTTTAAATAAGGAGTAAGGGAAAAGAGAAAAAATTTTATCTTTATTTTTTTAACTTTTTATTGTTCTGGGAAAAATACGGTTATGCCCACCCCCCCCGATAATGCGAAAGCTCCATGTTTTCGCAAAACACCTTAGGAAACACATTTTTTTTAGTTCCGACGTCATCGGCTCGGTCGTAGATGGAATGCTGTCCACCGTCGAGCTCACCCACGAGCTCTGGAACTTGTGCTGGTCTGGATTCGAGGTGACTCGATGATCATCTACTTCCAATATTCAATTCTAGGTTTGCACGGAGCGCTTCGCCCACCTGAAGGCCAACTACCGGCTGGCGGAGATGAGCCTGGAGCGGGGCAATCGATCCGTGGCCGAGAACCGCATCTTCAACGGCGTCTTCAAGAGGCCGACCGGCAACAAGGAGGTCAACTTCTTGGAGGTGAGCGCTGATTTTTATAAGGTCAAAATCCGAATAATATGTGGCAATTCTTGGGGTAATTTTTTATCGAATAATTTTACAGATCGAAATTTCAACGTTCTGAATTTCGGCATTATCACTTTTCGATATTTTTATTTAATTTCGTTTTCAAAACGCGCCTTTTGATTTGGTGGCCAGATAAGTACTAAAACACTAAAAACTAGAATAAATAGAATTACTTATTTAATTTAATTTGTGCATGAGCATTCGACGTTATTATGTTATTTCTCCATTTAGACGGCGACTGACATCTCCGACAAGGAAATCTCTCGCTCGGGCTCGTTCTGCTACCACGTCGCTCGGGCGGTCAAGTAAGACTGTTTAGAATGTCTTTCTATTTTCCGCTTTCAGGCTGTCGTTCCGCATCAGCGAGGCCTCATGCGATCACGCGCGCATCGTTGCGACATGCAAGGCGTTGCTGAAATTGACGACTGTCGATGAGGATAGGTAAGCTTCGGCCCTCCTTCATCAACAATTTCAATTCCAGCGAATGCCTGACGCGCCGCGACCAGCAGCGTTTGTTGGAATGCGGCTGGGTCTCGCTTCGGAAAGCATTCGATAAGCTGATCGACGACCCGACGTCGCGACCATCTTGGAGCAAATCGATGAGATTGTCAGTTGCCGGGCTGTGCGACGCGCTCGACGGGTATGTAGTTTATTTCCTGAATTCTATTACTGTGGAACTAAAAAGAAGAAAAAACTAAATTCTACTAATCTATTTTTACCTTCAACTGCAAAACTACAAAATTTGTTTGATTATTTTTTTTGATTTGATTATTTTGATTTATTGTTTTTGGTTAAATTTATTAAATTTAGTGTCGCTTCGAAAAGCAAAGCCAAGGTCGTACCGTGGATGTACAACCGCGTCATAGACTTGATCAAGGAGGAATTTGGCTCCATCGAGGCGTATCTCAAAGACACGGTCAACCGCGCCGCTGCGCAACGGGAGAAGGAGGTAGCTTTTTGCTAAAAGAAACAATGTTTCGAAATTCAAGAAATTTTTGATACAGAATTTCGAATCGATGAATTTCTTTAAATTGTATTTTCTCTATTAGTCGGCCTATTAGCCGTTTTTTTCAAAAAAATGCGTTTCTCGATCCAGCGGGTTGTCCGGCCGAGGTATGCTAATTTGTATAAATACAAAAAACGAAATTACAGATTACTTTAAAAGATAAAAATACACCCTTTTGTGGCATTCAGCTTTTTTATTTTTATTTATTTATTTTCCCCTTTTAGAAACGACAAGCCCTGGCCAAAGCAGCACGAAGGGCCCGCGCAGCTTATCCGGCTTCGTATGCGCCGCCCACCAAGCGGGTCGCCTACGAGGATCAGGTGATGCTGCTTGCCGAAGCGCATCTCAACGGCTTCCAGCCGTCGTCAGGGTCAGTTTTTTCGAAGCTGCGAAATATACAGGTTACTTTCAAAATGTCGAATTTCATGATTTTTAAATTCATAACCAGGGTTGAAAAACCGCTTGGCGGCTTTTCAACCCTGGTCCCGTCTAGGACATCTGAAAATTTGAATTTAAATAGGGCTTGCCGAATGCCGATCACCAAAAAATGAAAAGCGCACCCTCCCTCCCTTTTTATAGGCTACGGCCACTTCCGGTCAATGCTAATTGCCTCCTAACAAAGAGGTTTTTCGATATATTTACAAAAACTTAATTTTAATAGCGAAAACAGCCGATTTTCTTAAATTTTATATGTGTGCAGCCATCTCGGGGCCATTACGCACCTAATGACGCATCATACGTACCTTAAAAACCTTCCCCTGAGGCTGTAGGTGCGGTACATACTTACGGAAGTTGCATGCAAATATACACACACACACACACACACACACACACACACACACACACACACACACACACACACAGACACTATTTTTTATATACCAGGGTTGAAAAGCCGCTTCGCGACTTTTCAACCCTGGCCCCGTCTTGGACCCCATACTATTCTGCCCTTTGCATAATTGTCCTCCATTCAGAAGACGAAAAATGAAAAACAGCTCCTGCTGCCTCTTTATATAGACGACCGCCCACTTCCGGTCTATGCTAATTATCCCTAACAAAGAGGTTTCTACAAAAACCTAAATTTAATAGCGAAAATGGCTAATTTTTAAAAATCTGATATGTGTGCAGCGATCCCTAGACCATTACGCACCTAATCGTATCATAAGTAGCCTAATGCCCGTCCCTCCTTGAGATAACCTCCGGACAGACAGACGGAAGTGGATGCAAAGTGGCACACACACACAAACACACACACAGACACTATTTTTTTATATATAGTAGGATAGTAGGATCTCGACATATCAGACTGCCGAATTTCAGAGTGCCGAAATTTTGCATCGGCAAATTTCCCGGAGATTCCGCCAAACGCTATCCAAAAGAATCCAAAAATTCCCGCATTATGAAATCTCGAAATTCTCAAATTTCGACTTTCTGAAATGCCGACATTACGCAATTATGAAACTTGACATCCTTAGTTTCGAATATTCCGATCGTTCGGCATTCTGAAATTTCGGTATTACGGAAATTTCGACTTTGAATTCTGACATGTTGATCTCAAATCCGTTCCCCTTTCAATACGCTATTTCAGGAGCCAACCATCCACATCATCGAGTGCTAGCGCGTCTACCAGTGCCACCCTCCTCGCTGACGCCACCGCCACCAGCTCAAGCGCCCTGCTGGCCATGTGCGACAAGACGATCCAGGCCAAGCAGCAGCCGTCCACCTCGGCGGCCAAGCCACTGCCTGTGCGTGCGATATCGGCCCCGGTGAAGCCGCCGTCGCGGCCCCGCACGCCTATCGGGTCCGGAAATGTCGAGCTGCCCTGGAAGATCGATGACTTCGACCCACGACCGTCACCGAAAGAATGGGCCAAGTTGCAGCAGGTTGGCTGAATTTTTTTGCTGTAGTCAACTAATTTTGCAAACCAGCGCCCAAAACCCGCTTCGCGGGCCTTGGGCGCTGGAATGCGGCCATTGCATGAAAAGTTTGGCTTTCTGACAGCTCGGGTCCTGCGGACCCCTCCACCCCCGACCACGGGCGGTGAATCTTACAACGTCCCCTTACTGCAGGGACGCTATCGCGCGCCCCGGCGCCCTAACTACAGTAACCCACCCCACCGGCCCCCATTACGCTAGCCTATTGCTTTCCTTTCCAAAAACTAAAAGTATAGGAGAAAGAAATAGAAATCGGAGTAGGAAATTTGGCATACTTGAAATAAAGCTATAATTTCGCACGTTGTAAAGCTTAAATGGTCTTACGACACCAATCACGCTTTCAACATTCTTACGCACTAAGCAGGATTGAATGGCGCTTCGTCCGCAGTTCGATGTCGCTTCCGGAAGTTCAGGCGGGGTAGATAATAGGATGTAGCGTTTTTTTACCCAAAGAACAAGCGGAAGATGTTGAGAAATAGGGCCGCGTTGCTTGCAGCGTTTCGAGATCCTTATAAACTTACTCAAACTTATTTTTTTTAATTTGTCAGTACAACAGCATCGTAGAACTATTAGGAACCTATTTTTCGTTGCGGAATAATTAGTTAGAATTCTTACAATCTTCGACGTCAACGCTAACAAGAAGGATCGGATGAGGGTTTCAGGTCTTTGAGCACAACACTTTGGAAGTTCGTTGAAAAGTGCCGTTAGAATCTTCACCTGGACGGCTCCACTCTAATTATTTTTATGAGACAAAAACATTTAGCACCTTACAAACGATTTCTCATTTCAGAATCGGAAGCTACCAATTTAATGGCTGGCGGCACCCGATTTGTGAAAATTTACTTTTATGGCACCATCAAAAAGTGTTGTCCGGGCCAGAAACGATCTGGAAATGCTCAAAATCTAGTCTTTGGACAAAAAATGCACCGGATAGAAGTGTTTCAGGGCTAAAACTACTTTCTTTACTATAAAAGGATCATAAAAGAAACAAGCCCCTATTTTACTTCGATTACTGAAATGGAAACGTTAGCTATTTTCCAGTTCATCATAATCTTATTTTTCCTTCCTTCTGTTTCTTTTTTTCTTTCTCCTTATTTTTGGTTTTTGGAAAGGAAGGCAATAGGCTAGCGTAATGGGGGCCGGTGGGGGGTTACTGTAGTTAGGGCGCAGGAGCGCGCGATAGCGTCCCTGCAGTAAGGGGACGTTGTAAGATTCACCGCCCGTCCACTCGCGAGTGCAACTGCCAAGAATGAGGAAATTTGTATTTTTTCACATTATGCAAATTAGCCCTCAGGTACCCCCAAAAATGAATAAAACCGGCTGAACTTTGTAAACTTGTACTTTACCAAAATTCTGAGAACGCCATCGGAAACAGAAGGGTCGATTCCCCCAAGTGACGGAGGATCAGAGCGTTTTATGCACAGGAAGGCCCTCAAATCGGGCCTCGAAAGTGACATCCGCACACACACACAGTTACACGCCAAAATTATATAAGGTAGGATATAATTCTCATGGGGCATTGGAAAAGGTGCTGTTTCGTTAGCGGGGGGGGGGTTTATTGTGCTAGATTTTTTAAGATTGCTATGGTTTTCGGAACTGATTCAAGAGGTTTTATTGAGCTTCAAAAAATATCTTAAGGGTGTCCGTTACAGCTCAAGGTTCTGGATTCGCACAGCTCTGATTCATTTCAGGCTAGGGCCATAGGCACACCTCTCGACTTGGCGCTGAAGGTGTGGGCCGAGAATTTCGGTCCAGCGTCTCCGCAAGCTCCTCCAAAGGCCAAGCCTCCCGTCCGAGAGAGCAGCACCACCCAACCGGTCAGCAAGTCTGCGAATCCATCTGCGACGAATGGCTCCACGAGCTCAGCTGCTCCTGGAGGCTCCCGGGTAAGAATTTTTGATGGATGGATTGATTGATTTGCCTTTTTATTTTCTTTAATATAAAAATATAGGCGATTTTCGACGTTGTTTACAAAACTTTTTCCGCTTTGAAATATGGTTTAATTCTGCTAAAAACACTTTTAAACGACTAGTTATTGCTTGACTAGGCATACCTCGACTTCTAGGATAAGTCCGCTTCTTCCCCCTCGATAATGCCAAAGAACCAATTTTTTGGCTTTTTTACGACTTGAATTTTATTTTCTAGGCACCACCGACCTCCTCCATCAACAAGCCGATCGTGCCGCAGACGCAAACTTCAAAGCCCAAGCCCGCATCCGCGCCAACCGGCAAAAGCGCGACGGACAAGCCTCGAATCAACTCCAAGTTGATCGAACAAGCGGAGAGCTTCTTCTTCAACAGTGAAAATTTCCTGAAGCTGCAGCAAGACCACCCAAGGAGGCAGCAGGCGTCCGACTTTTCCTGACGAGTGAAATGTATAAAATGAAGTCACCCGAGACGAAGTTTGCCGCTTTGCAGGTAATTCTGTTTTGATACAACTTTGACAGTGTAATTTCTCAGCAAGCGTCCGCGAAGATAGCCGAACGGCTTGCCGGCGGCGCGTCAACCTCTACGAAGACCGTGAGTGATTTACTCCTTTATTGCTAAACGTAATAACTTTCTCAATATTTATGAAAAAAAACTTTGGAAGGGTTAAAAAAATATAAATTTTTGGACAAAAATTCGCGGTTTTCGACCTAAATTTGGATTTTTTAAAATTCGGAATTTTTCAGACCATGGTTTTCTTCGTAGCAAATATTTTGTCAAATCTAAATTCTATTAAAATCCTTTTCATTAAATCTATTAAAAATATATTTTCGACGGCGTCCGGTCACTACCCCAAGTCACTACCCGAAAGTCTTGGCCCGAAAGTCACTACCCCGAAAGTCACTACCCCGAAAAGTCACTACCCCGAAAAGTCACTACCCCGAAAAGTCACTTCCCCGAAAGTCACTACCCCGAAAAATGATAGCATTGTTTTTCCCGGAAAAATCCAGTTTTCATGCGGTTTTCCTATGAAAATCATGCAAATTATTTCGGGGTAGTGACTTTTCGGGGTAGTGACTTTTCGGGGTAGTGACTTTCGGGGTAGTGACTTTCGGGGTAGTGACTTTTCGGGGTAGTGACTTTCGGGGTAGTGACTTTCGGGGTAGTGACTTTTCGGGGTAGTGACTTTACCCCATTTTCGACCATGATATGTAATTTTAAGCATTTTTGTAATTTTAATTTTTCGAAAGGGTTTTTCACTTGAAATTTAGGGAAATTTTGTTAATGGTTTTGTATGTTAAGGAATGTTAAAGTCTTTGTTATTAAAACGAAAAAAAAACTTTCTCCTGATATTGCGAAAGCGCCAGTTATTTTATTGTTTAGACGAGCTCGTCGTCGGCCTCTACCTCGAATGGATCCACTTTCCGCGCGACTACATCAACGACACAGGGCAACTGCCAGGCCTCGGGAATCTTTGCCAGGAATAGGTTCGGGATTTGTTGCGCGATTTTCTGATTTATTCCGATTTAGCGGCGCTAGTACATCTACAGCCCAAGCGACCCCTCCAAACCCGACAAAGCCGAAGATTCAGAAGCCGAAGGTCCAACAGGCGGTCACGCCAATGACAGGGTAGATTTTTGGCGTGTTCGTTTAGAAATGACTTTTTAGTCGTTTTTCTTTAAATTAAAAAATTAAACTAAAACAATGAAAAATTCAAATAAAATGATTTTTTCTAGCCGTCCGCCATTCAAAAAGCCGCCCGGCCGAGCCCCGCTCCCCCCTGGAATGCAGCCCGCCGCCTCGAGCTCCACGGCGGCTTTCCAGCAGTTTGTAGACACGTGGGTTTTAGTTTCGTTTAATTTTTATGTGATTTATTCAATTTTTTAAAATGTTGCATTTTATATATTTAATTATTGATCCATTTTACGATTTTTTTCCAGAATACCGTCGTTGCCGAATACGGTAGGGGCTCTAGCGCAGAGCCAGAGGCAGGGCGCGACAGCCAAGCAGGTCAAGAAGTGAGTTTTACGGGAATAAAATAGCGGGGCAAATCGAGGTGTCTGTTAAGTGAAGATAGTCCTAAATATGAGTTTTTTGGGCTTTATGGAAAACTCTGAGTATATTTTTCGACGATCTATCGAATGGCATTTTCAAAATGAGTAAAACGGTTCTGGTTCGTTAGCGGGGGTTGGTAGTTAGGTGGACCATTTATCGACTTGCTATGAGATGACAAATGTTTTTTTTTAGCCCGTCGACGTCCGATAGGGAACGATATCTACAGACCATATCCCGTATGATTCCCGCGTCTATGAATAGACCCGGCACCTCCACGACGTCGCATGCCGCGCGTCCGATTGCGCCGGCGCCGCAGCGCGCCAATTCGACGCCCCAAAATGCGCTGGGCCAGAAGAGGACCGTTCAGCAAATGTCGTGAGTTTTTTGGAGTAGCGAGAGAGAGAGGGGGAGAGAGAGTGAGAGAGAGAGCAAGAAACCTTTCAAAAATCTATTTAAATTTTTAGAGCGGGTGCCCAAAGCCTTTACCAAATTCCCAACGCCTCCAACATGACTCCGGAACAGCTGAATGCCTTTCTACGGTCAGTTATTTTTTCGACTTTTAAAAAAACTACAAAAAATAGGATTTTTAATTTCAGCTCCCCTCCCCGATAATACAAAAAGAACCCAATTTTGGCCACATACCTCTCTTTTTTTAGTCAAATGTGCACCTCGGCTACCCCAAGCACCGTCGTCAAGAAGCCTCGCGTCGACAACCCGAAAGTCATAGATCTTGAATAATTCTGCCCTGACTTTTTTGATTCTTCACTTACTCCGTTCGCTTATTTCCCAATTTTGATGCCTTGCCCTCCTCCCATTGCATTCGATCCCAGTGTCAATCCCAGCTAACGACTCGGTGTTTTGCGAATTTGACCGCCCCGCCTGTCTCCCTTTCTTTCTCTGCTCACAGATCTCAAATTTATCTTTTCGGGTTCATAGCAAATAATTGATGGGTTGATTGAATTGCTTACTTCTTATTACGCGGATAAACATTTAATTTATTAATTTTTTTATAGTCCAAAAAGTATGGGTTTTGAAGCCCTTTATTTCTGGATTCGTAATTTAATTTTACAATTTTGCGGTAGAGTTTTTTATAGTTTTTAATTGGTTCTTTGGCATTATCGGGAGATCAACTTTTTTGAAGAGCGGATTTTTCAAATTTAGATAGGGAAAGGAAAAATACCTAAAAAAATTTTCTAAGCTTTTGTTGATTGTTTTTCTATAGAGCGAAATTTACTAAAAACACGCTTAGAACATTTCATACTACCTACGTTATAAAGCATTTCACGATTTCTAGAAAGAGACTTTGTCCCCCTACCCGATAATGCGAAAGAGCCTGTGTTTTTATCCATTGCACAAATTTGCGCTTTTTGCTTTGTGATAAGCTTTTGAATTCTTGATTCTTTTTTTAGAGAAATGGTTCTAGCCATTTTAATTCTTACGCTTTCTTTTTAAACAATATCGTTAATCGTATCGTCTATCGTAACGATTTTCTTTTTTTTACGATTTCTATTCCTAGTTTCCAGATATGAACGACTGCTATGTCGCGGCGGCGACGGGCTGTCTGAAAGGTGATTTTTTTTTACAAATTTTAAACCCTACCTTTAGGCCTTTCCCTGATCGACCACACATTCCTCAACCTGAACAGCGTCAAGGATCTGCAGCCGAAACAGGACGAAATCAGCAGAATGGTCTTTGGCAGTCCCGATCAGGTAAAAACGCAAATTTTTCCGAGAATTATGATTCAGAACCAACTCCTCTACTCCACGGCTTCACGGCAAATCCGCACGTTTGATACTTCGACGTGCCGCAGGGAGGACCTTTACACCGTGCCGGGCACTGGGAAGATCAATGGGCTGTATTTGACGCCGACGTAAGATTTTTTAAATAGAGATTTTGGCGTTCTGTAGATTTCCGGAGGGAAGCTGAAGGTTTAAAAAAGGCTGATGAGCTTGGATATACATAGGAACGTAGTGGCGACGATTTTAATAATTTTTGGTAAAGTTAGCTATGTTTCAAGTGAAAAACGGCTTACAAAAGTCGGAGAAACGGTCAATCAAAGTTTTTACGTCTAGTAACAACAAAATAAAACGGCGTCAAGCGCTTCCTTTTTTCTTGGAAAATTATGAACTTCAGAAAGCTTAGGAAAATGTTTAACATTTTAAAATTTTTGGCTGCAAATTGAACATGGTGGTCGAAAAATCGGCATTTTCAAGTTTTTTTTTAAATAGCAGAACGTAACTTTTTGACGTGGCGATAGTAAAAAAGCGTGGTGAGACTTACATTAAAAATCCTAGATACTAAAAAGCCAGTTTTTTTTAAAAAATTCATTCCTGATTTGTTCCTTTTAGCGACCAAATCGTGACGGCCTGCGAGACGGGCTCGATTCTGGTGGCCGATCGCAAGGGAACGGAGCTGGCGACGATGAATGGCGGACCGGTATGGATTTTTTGATTGAATTATTTCGGTTTTAGGGGCTCCTCTGCATGAACGGATGCGGAGACCGGATTGCGGCCGGCGGGAAAGACTGCCCAGTAAAAGTCTTCAACCTCGAGAAGCCCGAGAAGCCGACGTGGATCTCGAAAAACGTGCCCCCAGACGAGCTGCAGTTGGCCATCAAAATCTGGGACAAGGATGTACGGTTGATGCCCAACACGGAGACGCTCATCACCGGCACTGGAACTAAAACGGTAGTTTTTTATAGTTTTTTTTAATTCTTGTCTTTTAGCTCCGACTATACGACATGAGGGCCCAGCGGCGGCCGGTGATGCAGCTGAAGTGGATGGAGTCGCCGATCAATGCCATCTCGTTGAGCAACCAGGACAAACAGGTGAATTTTTGCTGTTACAGTAGCCTCTCTAATAGAAGAAATGATTTTTACGGTTTTTGCGTCGTTTTTACGTATAGAAAGAGCATCAAAAATATTTTGAAGTGGTGGTTGTAATGATTTTATTATTTCGAATTTAATCACTGCTGGAAACTGTACGAAAATTATAAAAAATGGCGACTAAAAATGTCATGGGTTTTTTAGTAATTTGAGGCGAAGAAAAACACTAACAGAAATTATAATGTTTGAATACAGAGGTATAGGTTAAATAAGGGGAAATCTCGGGTTTCCACCTACTTAAAATTCCCAAAAATCTATTCCAATGCCAAAAAATTCTTTTTTTTTAGATCTACGCCGGCAACACGCACGGAGAGCTGGGTCTTTTTGACTGGAGAGGGACGAGAAGTGAGGATTTAACTAATATCATTTTTTAAACAAAAATTCGCGCAAATGCATATTTTTTAGTAATGCTCGTCTGCAAATACAAAGGCCAAGCTGGTGCCATTCGCTCGATCTACGGCCATCCGACACTCCCCTACGTTGCCAGCTGCGGTATCGATCGATTCACCCGGATACACGATTCCACGACCCGGAAGCTTGTCAGCAAGGTTGCGTCGAGATTTTGACGTCATCGTAACGTTTTTTTAGGTCTACTGCAAAACTCGGCTGAACGCTGTGCTGATGCGCGACGAGCTGTCGATTCGCAAGACGGCCAAGAAGGAGCAGGAGGAGATTGAGGAGGAATGGGCGCAGATTAATCAAAAGGTACTGATTGCCAAAAATTGTTTTTGAATTTCGTTTAGGAGCCAAAAACTGAGGCCGATTCTGACGGCGATGAAAGTGACGCCAGCGAGGCGTGGGGTGCCATTGATGAGGTATGATCCTACTATATATAAAAAATAGTGTTTGTGTGTGTGTGCCACTTTGCATGCAACTTCCGTCAGCGTGTTCCAGTAGTATCTCAATAAGGAGGGTAGTTAGGGGTATGTATGATACGTCATTAGGTGCGCAATGGTCTGGAGATGACTGCGCACTTCTAAGATTTTACAAAATCAGCTATTTTCAACGTTAAATTTAAGTTTTTGTAAAATTTTCGGGAACCCTCTTTGTTAGGAAAAATTAACATACACCGTAGTGATGATAGCCTATATAATGGGAGAAAGGCAGAGTTTTCATTTTTTTGCCATCTGAATTCGGGAAAATGATGTAAAGTGAAGAATTTCATGGGATCAGACGGGGCCAGGGTTGAAAGTCGCGAAGCGGCTTTTCAACCCTGGTTTGAATTAGTTATAACTACGTAAAATTGATTTCTAATTTCTATGAAAACATTGCTACGCTTTTTAAACCTCCTGAACGCGTTTTATTAAAATAAAAACTAAAAACAACAATTTTTCGACAGAATGTAAATTTTAAACATTTTTCTAAATTTTTAGATAATTTTAAAATCGAAATATAGCTAAATTTTACAAAAAAAACACATATACTTTCTGGTACGTTGCTATGCATTACTGGGCTGGAATTACTGGATAACCCGTAAAATAATTTATTTAGGAATCGGAATCCGGTGGTGAAGATGAAGAAAGTGACGACGAGGAGGAGGGTGACGATTCAGAAGACGAGGGCGATGAGGAGGCGGCAGATGAAGAAGAAGAAAGTGATGAGGTACATTAAAATATACATTTCAAGCGAAAATGTTGATTTTTAGGAAGAAGCCTCCCCGCCCCTCAAAAAGAAGCGAGTATCTGCTAGAGGAGACGCCGGAAAAGCGAAGCCGGCCCCCACAAAGCGCGCTGAGGTTTGGTTTTTACATATTAATAAATACTTAATTTATTTTTATTATTTAAATTCGATTTTTAAATTAATATAAAATTATTTAATTAATTTTCAGGTGAAAGAAGAGGTCGGCAGTGACGACGACGATGATGAGGATGATGACGTGCAAGTGATCAGCCCGATAAAAGCCGGCGGAAAAGCCAAGGGAAAGAGAAGAAAATAAATTCCCCCAAAAAAATGTTGATTTGTTGTTTTGTTGATTTTCACGTTGTTGCCACTGTTTTTCTAGTGCTCTTGTTTGTTTGCGTTGAGATGATGGTATTGTTGTTTGTGACGAATAAAGGAAATCTAAGAGTTGTTGCCTTTTAAGAGATGGTATAGAAATATATATTTTATCTACACTAAACGCTGCAAAGCGTCATTTCCAGGCTCCATCCTCTGTCTCAACCCGGATATTCGGCGGGACGACGATGCTGGTGTATTTCCGGCTTCGCGCCCGAATCGCAACGTAGGAGATGAGCACTGGAAGTTCGAGGTTATTTACTATTTCCGAATCTTTTTCTATATTCAGATGGTAAATAAACATTGGAAAATTATTAGAAGAGCTTTTTTAATGAAATTTAGATAATTATGACGTTAAAAACTAGTCAAAAAATATTCAAAACGTTTGAGATTTTGGTCGTAAAAATCTAGAGTTTGAATTTTATAGATCTTTTAAAGTTTTCCTTTTAAGCGCATTTAGAAACACATCTTCTATTGAAGTTGGCAGATTGGCTATTAGGGGAAAACCGCGTAAGAACAGTTGATAATTTTGAGCTATACTTACGTAATAACGGAAACGCTATCAACACGCAACCGACGATGAGGATTATCATAGGCACGGTGACCATAAGTAACTTCATAAAACGATGCGCGTAGTCTTTCATCTAAATTTCATGCTGTTTCCATGTTTTGATAGCTTGGTTTTGATAGAAAATTGGTTTTATAAAACGAGAGGTGCCAGTTATAGTAATTTAGAATTAGTAGTTTCAATCGAATTTGGGCACAAACCTCAACGGTCAGCTCGATCCACGCGCAGGGGATGATCACGGTTTGTAGCCGCTGCATCATGCTGAAAATTCGAAGAGTTTTGTAAGTTGCTTTAACGATTATTTTTCAAGGTCACTTTAGGCCAAAATACCTAGTTTAACTCACACGAGCATCGTGTCCTTGAAGAGTGGAATGGAAATTTGAAGCCTGACAAATCCTTTGACTGCTGCGCCGGTTAGCTACATTTTTTCCAGATAATCTTGGATGTTTTATTACCTACCCCATGAACCTGGAATAAGCTCGGGTCGTGCCGTGCAACATTAGGTTCGATCCCGACGATTGAGCGAGTGATCTGAACTTTTATAAGCTGTTCGCGGTTCGTGTTTTTGTAGTTTTTCTAGGTTTGTAGTTTTTAAACCAGCGCTTGTCTTTCAACCTTTTTTGCTATAAAACCCACCTCGGGCGGCGACCACAAGAAGTGCGGGGGCGATAGAAATGCTGGAAATGGGACTTCGACATCCCGAGCTGGTTGGCATCTCATCGGCACCATCCCGGGCGGCATGAACACCGTGTTTTGGTAGTGTGTTCCTGAGTTTAAAAGAGTGATAGGAGATTTTCCGCTAATTTGGAGGGTTATAACAGTTACTAAGAGCGCTACACTAACAGAAACAGCCAAAATGTAGAAAAAATAATGATTTTTGAAGGGAGTACGCATTTTGCACGCTATTTTCTGGCTTTTTTGGACTTCCGGAAACGGTTTTTGGTAGTTAAGACCGACCATCACAGCACGTGTCGCACCAGTTCTCGTACGGGAAACAATCCACGTCTTTGCAACGTGCATCGTTCGGATTGTAGGTTTTATTCGGGCCGCACGGCCAATTCGGCGCGTAGTCCTAAAATACCCGTTTTAGATTCAGAATAAGTTTTCACCTTCTTCTCATAATTCTCATATCGATAGCCGTAGTTTTTAGGTATTGTCGTGTCGAATTCGTCGTCTTTCAGCTTGTAGTTGTTTGTCTACAATTCTCGACTTTTAATGATTTCTAGGATAAAAATAGGATAAAAATTTTTGAAAAAGATTCCCTAGGGTCATAAGATATCCGAAATGTTAATATTACATTTGTTTAGCCTAAAAACGTTCAAAAACCCACCGGAATCCCTTCCAAAATTCCCTTCTCCGCGTAGTTGAAGCGGAATGTCCTGGAATTTGGATGTTTTTAGGGTATTTCTGTATTGAAGAACTCGATAAAAACGTATAAATTAAATACAAATTAAAGCGCCAAAAATTATACTAAAATACTATGAAAATCATTGAAATTTTCTAAAAACGCACCGACATCCCAAAGATTGGAAAATCTTCAACTCTTCATCCTTTTTCAGGCCCGGCTTGTTGAAGGAGCCATCTAAAAATCATAATGCAGTCTTTCTATGATTTTTTGTATTATTTTTGGAACAATCTGTCAAAAAAATCGAAAATGGAATAGTAGGATTTTAACTTAAAGATCTCAGTTTCAAATTTTGGAATTCTCCTTACCACTACAATTCAGCGAGCTGGCATAGTCGCCCTTCCACCAGTCCAGTGAGGTATTTCCGGCCCTAAATTTTTATATTTTCTCGTTTATAGTAAAGTAGCGTACCATTTAATGATCACCCCCGTTTTTTTGACGTCATCCTTGCCGGTCCAAGCGACGTAGTCCTCATCGCAAGTGTGGTTGAACTAAAAAATGGAATATCTTGTTCACCCGCGCTCCCTCTCTCTCTCTCTCTCTCTCTTCTCTCTCTCTCTCTCTCTCTCTCTCTCTGTCTCTCCCAATCGCGCTCTCTCTCTCACCAGCGGAAAGTATCCCAACGCCTTCATCGGCGGGATTTTCAACCCGAATAGTTTTCCCTCGTCATCAAGGAGTGCTGTGTACAGCCAGCTGTTGATGAGGTCGATTAAAGGATCGTTGTAGGAATCGAATAGGATTCCCGCGACCGGGATTCTCCTAAAAGTCTTCTTTATATGATTTGCCCGTTTATTTCTGGTCGAATCCAATTTCTTGAAGAATCTCTGCTAGATTGCCTTATTTTTAGCAATTTTTAGTAAAGCTTGAATCCAAAAAGTGATGTTTCAAAACTAAAAGTGCCTTTACTTCCTTTCTATTCGGTTTTTTTTGGAATGAAATTTACGATTTCTGGCCAAATTCGAAGCCTAGACAGCCCCGTGTTTCCTACCGTAACGGATTCTCCCCCACCAGCAACATGGCCAAGTTCAGAATAAAATTATTCGGTCCGTGCCGGTTCGTCTCGTTCCATTTCAGCATTTCACCTGCGACTGCCTAAAAGCGATTTTCAGAGGCCTTCCGCTTTTAAATTAAAATAAACGGTGATGTTTTCTAGAAATTTAATTTACTACATTTGAAAAAATCCTAGCTCAATTTTACGCAATTAAAATATGTCTAGAATTCTCGGATTTCTCAAACATACCATAAAAGCCGGATTCGGCATAATGATATAATCGTCATATCTACAGTACGAGCAGCTCCGATCCGGCCGATAAAACCAAGATTTATTATTACGGTAATACACCGTATTTCCATCATCCATAAAGCGGATCTCTTGTTTGAATTCCGTTTCTCTGAAAATAAAGACGGATGACCTCGTCATTAAATTTAGTATAACTAAACGTTTTGCAATAGCCACTAATGGCTGAACCTAAAAAAATTCAGAATTTAAAGAGATGAGGACGGCATCTGTTGAACCCCCCTTGGGGAGGGGGGGTTCAACAGGTCCCGCGGCGATCTCGCGCGAGAGAGGGCTCCCAGGGGAGAGGCGCAGAGACATTTTCTTTCCCTCGCGTAATCTATTGACTTATGCCGCCCCTATCTCTTTAAAGAAAAAGTATATTTAGACAATCAAGAAAGCTGAACCACCTGTAAGTATAACCAACCTGTAAACATACGGCCCAATCTCAGCTAATCTCGGCATTTCCCCGTTATAGACCACCTCTTCGGGATTGGTAATGTTAAAAATATAAAGAGCCCAGAACTCGTCGACCGGCATACTCTGCCAATAATACGTCAACTTTGCGTAGCTGCCATCCTCGTTTTCTCTGGAATTAAGAGATTTTTAGCGCGCGCAAGAAAAAACCATTTCTTGCACGACTCCACTTTTTGCGCTCATCGAAGTTTACGTTACGCTCCAAAACCCGCTATTTATGAATATTTTCACAAAGCGATGGGAAGGTAAAAGTTATCCCATTAATGCGCACAATTTTACCTAGTGAGTATGATTTTCCCAACCGAATTTCATAGCGTAATCGGTTCCATTTCAACCAATTCCATTTTATTATGAATTTAGAACATATCTCTCCCTATCACTCTCTCTCTCTCTCTCTCTCTGTGTCTCCCTCTCGCTCTTTCTCTTTCTCTCTCTTATTTCTCTCGCGCTTTCTCTCTCTCTCTCATTCTCGCTCTCTCTCGCTGTATCTCTCTCGCTCTCCCACGTTCTCACTCATTCCCTCCCTATCGCGTTCTCTCTCTCTCTCTCTCTCTCTCTCTCTCTCTCTCTGTCTCTCTGTCTCTCTCTCTCTGTCTCCCTCGCGCTCTTTATCTTTCTCTCTCTTATTTCTCTCGCGCTTTCTCTCTCTCTCATTCTCTCTCTCTCTCTCGCTCTCTTTCGGAGTTTCCGCTAAATTTTACCATGCGCGCCAGAATAGAGAAGTTCTCTATTATCTTCAAGAATTTCGAAGCCCAATAATGTTGACAATATAGGCAATCTTCTGGATTTTTAGTAAAAGTGACTTACCGCAACGGTATCTGCCCGTGCACCAGCTTCTCAAATAGCACAAAATAGAACGGGCCGACTAGGAATACGCCCAAAAGAGCCAACAATAAGGCGAGGGCCGCAAATACCCAAAAACACCGCCCAAACCCGTGCATCCCGCCGGAAGATTACGGTAGAATTCGGGCTAGCATTAGCAGGCAGAAAACATCATAAAAAGCTTAACAAAAACTAGATATTATAGCGTAGTAACAAATAATCTAGTCTATTTAGCCAGAGAATAGTCTGAAAGTTAGCGTATTACGGTAGTTCTTAAACGGATCATTTACCTTTGGAAATCACGCAAAAACTGAGAGTATCCGTGGAAATACGAATTTACGTTTGTTGACGCCCGGGAGAGGCTATAAACGGTGGTACACAAATTTTAAGGTGTGCCCTGCTGCTGTCTTATCAGTTTTTCAGAATCCATCGAGGCATACCTCGATCTCTAGTTTTCCACGATTGCATCCGTAAGGAGAGAGAGAGAGAGAGACAGAGAGAGAGAGAGAGATGAGAGAGTGAGAAAGTGAGAGAGAGTGAGAGAGTCAGAGAGTGAGAGATAGAGAGGTAGTCAGGGAATGACCACGGGACCCCCGTAAATTGATAGTAAAATTGGTCAAAAAACGGCTGCAATTTACGGCAGGCGACCAAAGATTGTAAATGGCATTTTAAGGGAATAATCATCACTTCCCGGTGCCATTTTGGACCCCGATTTATCTGAAGGAATGGCACGTAAAAACGGGATTGGAGGCATAGCTATCCAGGTAAAAGGAGGAAACGTGCCAAATTATTTTTAACACGCCTAGCCGCAAGGAAACTTTACAAATGTAGGTTTTAAAAATAAAAGATATCGATTTTCCGACAAGAATGGCTATTTCTGAACACCTTTAAAAGTCTGTTAAATAATTTTTCATTTCAAATGGCCGAAAATCGTTGCTATTTGCAGATCGTCCTTCTTTACTGCGACTATCACTATTCCTCTGGGTTTCAGGATCACTTAAAGACTGCTAGAACTCTTGAACGCGCACTGTCACCCCGAGGGTGCTGCCCCCAAGGACGCGCAGAGAGAGGCGTCATTAGTTGCACCCCGTACTGGGCAAAGGCCCTCTGGGGTTTGGGGCGCCTCTGACTTCCTTCTCCACTCGGCCATGTGGCATAGTGGCTAGCGCGTCGGACTCTGGAGCGAACTATCGCGGGTTCGACCCCGCCCGGTGCGCAATTTCTCGCTTTTAACGAAATTTTGATCTTTCTGACGGTCTTTAACGATTTTGCTGAAGTTGCGTGTTACCAAAGTCTCAAGTTGCCTTCCTTTTCGATCTCCTCATGGGGTCCGTTTTTGACCATCTTTTTGAGGGTAGACACAAAATAACAGACCGTTCTCGAAGCTGTCGAGAACCAAAGATTTTATCGCTTTGAGTGAAATTACGTTGGACTAGGTGGGTGATGCCCGAAAAAGGATAGAGAATAAGGGCGAATATAAGCCGAAAAGATCCACCAAAACACGATTCATCCGTCTATCCTTGAAAACTCAAAGCAATGCAAGCAGCTACGGTAGATTTACCAGTATTCACTGCCTCATCCAGGAATTCGATAAATTGCCGGCTAACTGGTAGGTCTAAGATGATTTTCGTGATTTTATTAATTAGATTTAATTCAGCTTTTAGTTATTAGAAAGCCACTGACTTCAGAGGTCCTTTAAAACGTTTAGTTGTTTTCGTTATTCCTATTTTACCTAATTTTAATTTTTTTTTTTGTTTACAGGGCATTCAAGTATTCATCAGGTTTCAGATCATCCTATGGTTTCATCCTGGTCCACTAATACCATTAAAATAGTCCAAAAATTTTTACATTTTTGGCGGTATTTTAAAACCAAATAAAGTTACTCTACTATATATATGGGTCGGGGCCTGCGGGCGCCGCCAAATGCCCCTCTCGAGGAGCCTTTTGGGGGCGTCTTGGGTGGGGCCTTTTTCCGGTATGCAGCGATGTAAATTGCAAAAAGTCATCTGAAAAGCGTTTTTTCGCAATTTGCATCGCTGCATACCGGAAAAATGCCCCACCCAGGGCGCCCGCCGGCCCCACCCAAGACGCCCCCAAAAGGCTCCTCGAGAGGGGCATTTGGCGGCGCCCCCAGGCCCCGACCCATGTATACTCTACTACATTAGACCCTTGGAAGATTTTTGCCTTGATAAGACCTTTATGATTTGACCAAAAAAATTTTGATTCAGAAAACGAAAGCCAAGCCAAAGCCGGCCAACTCCGCAAGCACTTCTCACAGAAATTCGACTTTTGGACGTGCGCTAACAAGGAGGTGGCACTTGTGGACTTGAGAGTGGTTGGTTTTTGCTTGATTGAGGATTACAAACTGCAAAAATAACGTTATGATTTTTTTGTTTTTAGCACTGCCATAACTGCCAGAAAACGCTGCCAAGCCTTGAGGAGTTGATCCGGCACACCATCGGGGAGGCACATATCGAAAAGGTAGGCAAAATGATTTTATGCATCTCTGTCATTCTCGTTCTCTCTCTCTCTCTTTCTCCTCTCTCTCTCTCTCTCTCTCTCTCTCTCTCTCTCTCGCTTTCGCCCACTCTCTCGCGCGCTCTCTGACAATATGTTAGGATACTTTTCTAGGTATACGCGAACGGCGGCTACCTCACCGACGAAGACTTCGATTTTTGGTACGAGGTGTTGGAGGAGTACAGGCTATAAATTGCTATGATTTTATCCATTTTTCATTGTGTACTGTATCCCAAGACTCTGCACAAAACTTTTTTTACCGCCTACAAAAAAATTTATGAGAATTTTTCGAATTTTGCGATTTGTGTTTCTGTATTTTATTTTCGCCATCTTCAACAGATAAACGTATATAAATCGGCATTTTAGTAAATGTTTATGCAAAATACCCGTTGCGAAATCCACAGAATTGAAGGCGAAAAATACCGATAGAAATGAGAGATCTGTAAAAATGTTGACAATGGCCTTATTCGAGCTGTTTTCCAGCGATGCGGACACGACCGAAATCTCCTCCGAAAACGTCGATCGTTGGTGAACCGGGACCAGCTTCCGATGGGGTTGAGCTCTGAAAGTAACCTTGTTATATTTGTGATTCAAACAGCTTTGTCTGATTTATAAAAACATAGCGAAATCACGCTAACAAAATCAAAATAATTTATTTTTCAAGATACACCACGCGCTATCTATCTTGGTACTAAATTTTATTTAATCAATTTTCCAAATTTAATTAATAACTTTACATTTTTACACCGTTAGGTTGGGGTTGAAAACGTTAGGTATTTCTTTAATACGTTCTAAATAGTTTTTAAGACTGACCGAATCCCTCCTTTCGGCAACATGATTTTGGAAGAGCGCTTCCGTGCGCTGCTCGAAGCCCTTGAACGCGCCGAAGACACTTTTTTCGATTCCGACGAAGGTACAGCGGTTGACGATCTGGAATTAGTTGTATAAAAATCTAAATCCGGAAAATTTGGTTAAAATCAACTTAAATGCTCAAAAACTCACCCTGAACGGCATGCCAACGAAGAAATGGACGAATTTCCAGGCGGGATCGCGCTAAAAATATATATAAATCTTCTGTCTGACTTTATACATCAAAATGCCACATTCAGCTATCGAAAAGTAGAGTAATAGTTGAGTAATACTTACATAGGTATACGTTGGCATCAAATCTCCCATTCCAATCGTTGTGACAGTGAGGTATGCGAGGTATACGGCACCCCAGTACGTGATACTATTCGGTCCGAACAGACCGTCGTACCAGTAGGTGAATGCCGCACACGAGAACCAGGATACTGAAAAAGAGGAATTTTATACGATCTACATCTAGATTCTTTGGATTTACTTTATTTGGTAAATTAATTTATTTTGCATTAATTTAATGTATTATATAAAAAATAGTGTTTGTGTGTGAGTGTGTGTGCATTTGCATGCAACTTCCGTCAGGGTGTCCGGAGGATATCTCGATAGGAAATGAATTTTAAGGTACGTATGATACGTCAGTAGGTGCGTAATGGCCCTGAGATGACTGCACGCATATCAGATTTTACAAAGTCAGCTATTTTCGACATTAACTTTAAGTTTTTGTAAAATTGTTGGGAATACTCTTTGGTAGGAAAAAATTAGCATACAACGGAAGTGGAAAGAGCCTATATAATCAGCTAGAGAGTATCGTTTTTAATTTTTCTCATCAAAATTCGAGAGACGAATGCAGAGTTAAGACTATTCTGGGGCTAGACCGGGGCCAGGGTTGAAAAGTCGCGAAGCGGCTTTTCGACCCTGGTTTAATGTATTTTTTCTCGCTTCCGGTTCTCACCACTTTTCTAACGGTTTTTTTTGACGGATCAATGCCGAAGCAAAATACCTTTTGAATCCGCCATTCAATCGTCATTATTGTAAATTTTTTAGGGCTACGGTAGCTCAAGAGATCCCATATTGGAAAGACAATAAATTTTACGCGACGAAACCGGCAAGGTCAATTCGAAATGGGATAGATAAACAGAAAACGGATCAACGTCGAGAGATCGGGAAAGGGCAGCAGGTGGCGTTGAATGGTCAAAGTATAGCAAGACGACTTGTTTGAAATTTCCCGCCAGAATAATTTGAATACTGCGTTTAATTTCGAAAACAGATTTTTGCAGCTTCTAAAATATCCAGAAACCAGATGGTTCCAGTCGCTTCGCGACTGTAACCATCTGGCCTTCGGACTACCCTTCATGCAATCCACTTAAAAAACTACTTCGATACCTCCCTGATGGCTTTAGATACCCCCCATGGCTGAAATCCCCTTCAAAAACTACTTCGATACCTCCCTGATGGCTTTAGATACCCCCCATGGCTGAAATCTCCTTCAAAAACTACTTCGATACCTCCCTGATGGCTTTAGATACCCCCCATGGCTGAAATCCCCTTCAAAAACTACTTCGATACCTCCCTGATGGCTTTAGATACCCCCCATGGCTGAAATCTCCTTCAAAAACTACTTCGATACCTCCCTGATGGCTTTAGATACCCCCCATGGCTGAAATCCCCTTCAAAAACTACTTCGATACCTCCCTGATGGCTTTAGATACCCCCCATGGCTGAAATCTCCTTCAAAAACTACTTCGATACCTCCCTGATGGCTTTAGATACCCCCCATGGCTGAAATCCCCTTCAAAAACTACTTCGATACCTCCCTGATGGCTTTAGATACCCCCCATGGCTGAAATCTCCTTCAAAAACTACTTCGATACCTCCCTGATGGCTTTAGATACCCCCCATGGCTGAAATCCCTTCAAAACTACTTCGATACCTCCCTGATGGCTTCAGATACCTCCCCTAGCCGAAATCCCCTTAAAAAACAAAAATAACGACCGACCGGATGGAATGAGAGAAAAAAAGAAATGAAATCCTCCGTGAAAATTTTCATCCACGAAACGCGCGCCACCTGGCTCACTATGCGAAAATCATGCCAACCTCCGTCCCCCACCCCTTTTACTAAGGAAAAAACTTTCAAAGTTAATTTTAATAATTTAAACTAAAACTTTTTCATAATTTTTTTATCAGTTTGGGGGTTTCTGACGGCGCTCTATCCGAATCCGAAGAGAGCTAAGCTCTAGCTCCTTTCCCCTTCGAGTTGAATTCGGCTTCACACAGACGGACGGACGGACAGACGCGTCAAGAAAATTATTATAGTTGATTGACCCACCAAACATCAAAACGACAGCCATCGTGATGCCAATCGATACCCCGTCGGATTCGTCTTTTGTCGGGGTTCCTCTGAAATTTAAGCCTGTTAAAGGAGCCAGCAAGTGATAGATGAGATATTCTGGCGTCTTTAAAGTTTAGGTAACGTCCTAAGCATTCAAAAGAAGATATGCATGTACGCGACGAAGCAATACGCCAGTACGCTATGTGAGAAAACGGTGGCATGCCAGGCATGAAACGCTAGTACGTTACGAAACGGTTGACCTCGCCAGTCGACGATCAGCTACTTTGCTGTACTCTACGCTACGATACCATACGATACGTTACGGGATACTAGCGTCAAGATACTCGGTACGGTACGGTACGATACAATATGATATATGAAGAACGCTACGCTACGCTACGCTATGGGACGCCATTCTATAGGCACGCTACGTCCCGCGACGATACGATCCGTTACGTTACACAACAACTTACAGTCGGGCGCAGTAGCTGTACATCTTCGTGATCTGGTAGAGAATTGCCTGGCCGAGGTCACGAGTAACCACGACGGCCAGTGGGATGGAGATTAGCGTGAAGCAGATCGTCATAAAACGACCGAGATCCGTCACGGCGGGTACGGTACCTAAAAAGGAATAATTCATTAAAAAAATATAATTTTTGCTTTCTAAAAAGGTCAATTTATACATTAACAAAATTAACGTGTCGTACAAAAAAAATTTCAGGGAACGCAAATTTTAAAAAAGCTACCGTAATCAACCGTCATGAAGGCGTTAGTGCAGAAGAATACGGCAGCCGAATACCATCTCCACGCGTAATTCGCGTCGGGGTCTTCGACCTTGAAGTATACGGATTTGGTATATCGATCTTCCGCCTCAAGGAGGGCATGGTAGACTGTCTAAAATTGTAATTTTTAACTGAGCGATTAGCTTTAGTTATATCTCCCTCCCTCTCTCTCTCTCGCTCTCTCTCTCTCTCTCTCGCTCTCTCTCTGTTTATGTTTCTCTATCACTCTCTCTTTCTCTCTCTCGCTCGCCTGCTCTCTTTCCCTCTCTCTCTCTCTCTCTCTCTCTCTCTCTCTCTCTCTTTCACTCTCTCGATATATCTCCGTCTCTCTCTCTCTCTCTCTCTCTCTCTCTCTCTCTCTTGTCCACTTTCTTCCACTCTCTCTCGCGCGCGCTCTCTCTATCTCTCTCTCACTCTCGTTCACTTTCTTCCATTCTCTCTCACGCGCGCACGCTCTCTCCCTCCCTCTCTCTCTCGCTCTCTCGCTCTCTCTATCGCTCTCACTGTCTCAGAACTTACCCTAATCTTATTCTTCAAAACATCCGGATCCGATCCATTTTCAAATTTCAGCTGCGCAACCAAATCTTTCGACTGGATCTTTAGTACGTCATTCAGCTTGTTCATTGCGTCTTCATAAATCTGAAAATGCTCTGTCAAGGAAGGAAGAGAGTAAGCTATCTAAGGTCTGAAAAATCTCAAAATAACCTGACTTAAAATAAAAATGCAAATTACCTGCTGCTCAGCCGGCCTCTCAATCTGCAAAAAGCACCATCCGCCAACAATTGTCAGTGCCGCCATCAGGACGAGCATCATCACATGCCGGAAAGCAATTCCGGTATGTCTGTAGGCGAGCCAGTAGAGAGAGTGGGCAAAGCCTGAAAAATAGAAGCTTTTCGGATCAATTGATTTTTAGGTAAAACAGGACTTTAAAATGGTCAAAAACTTTCATTTTGAGAATGGAGAAAAATTTGAAGGATTCCAAAGTTTAAGGTTTACAGTTAAATACATTCTTATTATATCGTAGCATACAACAAAGAAAGCAAGCACGTACGATTTCTGTTTGCACCCTCGATCGGCACAATATCCTTTCGAATTGTGGCCCTTCGCCTCCTCGGGGCGGGCATGACAATCTTCTTTTCTTCTTTCATTCTTGGAGAGGGGTTTCTGAAAATAGAAATTAATAAAGTAACGTAATAGAACACTTAAAATTAGAAACATACGAAAAAGTAGAATTATCGATTGATGGAGGAGATTGGATAGGAGGAGAATCTTCACATCAGAACATGAAGCATCAAAAAGTGAGTGTACTGAATCTGATTTTCTCATGTTCAAGGTTTTTTAGCTTTCCGGATCCGATTTCCGGCCAGAAACAAAGCTTCTCTTTCGAAAAAGGAAGAAAAGATTGTAAAATTCTCATATCGCCAATGCGCAAAGTGGAACTTCGAAAAATCGGAAAGAAACCTATTTTCCGGATCCGCTAGCGATTTTCCGGCAGAAAATTTTCATTTCCGGATCCGCCCCAGGCTTAATTGCGCGCTTGGGCTTAAACTTAAAAAACGCTAAGCCGGAAATCCCACGGTAAGGTTTTGGTCCGGAATGTCCGGTCTAGTTTGAGAAATCCGGCAAAATCACGAAATGCATTTCCGGATTCGGATTCCAAGCCCTAGAATGCCATAGCCTGGCCAAATCCGGAGACCTGAATAGGTTTTAAACAGATTTCCGGTTGGGGGAGGTCCCGACAAAATCCATAAATCCAAAAAGGGGGAGGAGAAAAGGGAGGAGCATCACCTCTGGGGCCATCCCTTTTTGGGGGGCGTACGGTCGACCCGGGTGAGAGCTCAGCGAGAGCTCAAAAAGCGAGAGAGCGGAAGGGGCGAGACGATAAAGGGAAAACGAGGCATGGGGAGCATGAGCTGGGGATAGAGAGAGGAGCATGAGCCTGAGATAGCGATTGTACAATCATCAAAAGATCACCGCGATCTCGTCAACAAAATACAAGACGCACCCAGGACTTCCGGTGGGGTGTACGGAGTAGTGGCGCGTTCGCGGAATGGAGTTATGACGCACTTTAGCAGCGGTAGCTGAAACATGCCCTATTTTTAGAAATCTCTAGCTCATGCTCATATTGGTTCTCAAAAGAGCGCTTAAAGGAGGTTAGAAGTGTGAAATTCTACCCTCTCCATCTACTAGTTCTCGACAGTTATGGCAGGCAGCTACACGGGATTCCAAAACACGGTTCCAGGCGCTCTTAGAGTTGACAAAATCACGTAAATTATTCACAAACCATGCAAACGCAAACACTAATTTGGCAAAAACACACAACAACACCAAAATCCCGACAACCATAATCCCGACATTGAAAATCCCGACAGCCAAAATGTGATCTTTTCGGCCATTTTACCCTTAAATGGCTTTAAAATCGGGGGTTTCTGGGTGTCGGGATTATGGCTTTCGGGATTTTGAATGTCGGGATCCTGGCGGTTTGCCCTCGACAACCCTCATCGGTTTTTGGCCACGGTAAGAGTATAATCTGCAATGTCCTTTGCGTGTGGTGTACTTGGCCCGGCGAGCCTGATTTTTGGCACTTATTGGTGCCTTTAAAGGTAACATTTCGAGTTTGGGATATAACACAGCGGCCCGGCTCCTAATAAAACGTCCGGTAGTTTTGGAAACGCGGGAAGACCGCAACGCGTGGGATAGACGCGTCGCGCAATTGCGAAAACAGGCCTGCGCAGCTAAAAACCGGTTGCTATTCCGCGTACCCGCACGCAACGCGCGAAAAACACGCATAGTACGCCCTTTCCCTTAAAGCGCACGTTCAGGGAGGGGCCGTGTACTCGTCCCAACGTGTACACCCTATGGACGTTGGGACCGCGCGCACTGCCTGCCCGTGTCGTGGCAGGCAATTCCCCTCCTTTGCGGCGTGGGGCGCCCCTCGCCCCTTGCCAGGTTGTAGCTATGGCTGACTGGTATCCATCCGCGCCTCCCGAGCGGGGGTCCCGGGTTCGACCCCCGGTCGCGGCTAAATCTTTGCTTTTTTCCAAAAAAAACCTCCCTGAACGTGCCCTTTAAACCATCTGGACCGAACCCATGGGCGGTTGTGATAAGTATTTTTTCCTGAACCTTGGCTACAGCGCACCTAGATCCAAATTCCCATGAAAATGACCACTCTCCCAAAGAATGATTCACCCAAGATAGCCTAGAAACAAAAATTTCTAAATCGGCTGAGCCGGTTCTGGGAAGCAAGGCAAAAAGCCATAACCTCGGCGGAAAAAGGATGCAAAAAGACCAAACTTGAATAGACATGGTGCGTCACTGGGGGCCAATCACGTATTTTTGTTGTAGGTGTTTTGCCAGTTGATTTTGGGGCTGCTCAAAAAGTGAGCCCTCACCACCCCGGACATTCATAACCGGTTTGGCCCCCGGTTCTGCCGGCCCGGACTGGTTTTTTGTTTCGTCAGTGGCAGTTGACGACAGTTTTTGGGTAGGGTAACGTCAATGGGTACAGATTTAAGGGTCTGGGAGATCAGGGCTAAACTAAAATTAAGTGAGGAGTATTATACCGTCCAATTTCACGATTTGTGCTTTATGAAAAAACACAAAAAACTCTAAAAAACATTGATATTTCACAACTTTTACCACTTTATTTCCTCTAATATTATGAGAATGGCAAGTCCATCATTTCCCGGCGTCTCATTTGGCAAAAAGCCAATCGATTACGCCATGTAAAAACCTAACTTACGGTGGATTAGGAGCAGATCTGATTTACGTAATTTAAAAATGGATTTTATGCTCATAAAAAGGTCAATCTCCTCGCCTTGACTGTCCCTTTAAAATCACTCTAGATCTGTGATCATGATGTCATTATTTTGCCTGAGCGCGCGAGGTTTACCAGCTTTTGACCAATCAACCCCCTGGTCCCGTTTTTACCGATCGGGGCTGATCGGTTAAACCGGGGACTAACCCACCCAAAAAATCAAATGATCACCGGATCGGCAGTCAGCGGAATGTTACGGATTTTTCATGGTCGTGCTCTAAAAGGCATAAAACTCGAATAAAAATATGAGCGGATAGCTTAATTCGTTACGGTAGGAAAGTGGAAAAATAATGGCAACAGTTGCTGCCGGAATTTATTTTTTTTTTTGTATTTTTTTTGCCAATAAGGCTCCCATTCTCACCCCTTTTAAAGCTTTTTGTAGCTCATAACCTAGCGTAATCAATGCCCCTTCTCGAGGGATTTCTGCTAGTTCGCTTTTTGGGGGACATGCGCAAATTTTTTGCAGAAGGTTACTTTTTGGAGATCGTGTTTTAGCTTTCTGTGGCTCGACCTCTATCTCTCTCACTCACTCTCACTCACTCTCTCTCTCTCTCCATCTCGCTCTCTCCATCTCTCTTCATCTCTCTCCCTCACTCTCTTTTCTCTTTTCTCTCTCTCTCTCTCTCTCTCTCTCTCTCTCCCTCTCTCTCTCTCTCTCTCCCTCTCTTCGTTTTAGCTTGCCCTAGTACCATTGTATGGTTTTAACGTTTGTATTTATCTCCTTTTTACGATTTTCGTTTAATATTTTTAGAACAATTTTTAGAAATGATACTTTATTCAATACCCATGGGTGTACATAGTTGTTTTGCGGAACCAACATCAACACTGTCGAAAAGTGACAGCTGATGCGGCCGGGCGAAGAGATCAATTATGGTTTTCATGCAAAAAGCGATGGATGTGGTTGATAAGGGCTGGGCGAATGGAAGGGTGGACCCGGAAGAGAGACCATAACCGGATTCGCGAAACGAGCAAAAATTGCAGAAAATTGCGATAGGACAAAGTAACATACAGAAAATACTTATTCATGTGAATCGCGGCTGACACGCACTCGTCCGAAATCTCCTGCGTAAGCGTCGGCCTGAAAAAATTCGTGTAATTAGCATACGAAAAACGCGAACTATTGCGTAACGAATATCTTAAAAACAAGGTTTAATCGAGCTAAAATGCCCCAGAGAATTAACTGATTCAATTATCGCGTATAGGCTAGGTTCCAAAAATTTTTACGTATATCTTTATCATTATAATTAAGTATCAAATATATAAGTTTTCGAAAGCAAGTTATGCGGATTTTTAAACATACCTGTGATCTCATAAATCCTCCAATCGACCCGACCGTGAAGTTGTTCACGTCCTTGTCGATACGGTCGCGTTCCTCCTGAAAAAGAAGATAATTCGAGTTTTCCACTAAGACTATGCAATAAATACTATGTTATTTGACCGCCCAAAGGCTTCTCCCAGCTGTAAATTTCCCAACTTTACCTGCTCCTGCTCGGCTTCCTCTATTGTTTTGGCTCGAGACATTCGTGAAGCACGGTGAGATTGAATCGGACGAGCATTTTCGATGCTGGCGTCTTCGATCTGAAAATACAGGGTGTCCCAAAATTATCCGGACAAAACGGAAAACTGACTTTTTCGATATTTCCGCTGTTTTCGGCCCCCGCATTGTCTTTCATAATATTTTTTGAGGCATTTTCGATGCACCGTGCAAAAAAATTCTTGGAGAACGCATTAATAGCTTCACAATCGAAGCGAAGAGCGCGTTAAAATTTTTCGCCCCTTAAATAACATAAAAACTGGGGTAAGCTTTCAAAATGTGTTCAGACATTTTTGTGGGCTAGAAATGACGTTTTCTGGCAAAACGGACCTAACTCCGCCAAGGTTCCATCATGTTAATGATCATTTTTCCGTTTAATACCGATTTCCGTCCCATTACTGGTCAAGGTGTTTCGATGCTTGCTCGTGCTCAAGCTCCTCAAAAACCAAAGTTAGCTTAATTTAAATAGCTTGTACTTCATCGTTACCGTCAAAAGTTTATACTCTGGTCTTTGACAAGATTAATATCGCGTTTTTAGGGTTCCTTCAGGGCAAATCCTTTAAAATAACTGGGGCGGCGCGTACCTTGATTTCAACTTTTTTGCCCGCTGTTTTTTTTTCTGGTGTAAACCTAGGGTTTTTGGGTTGACTAGAGGGTTGACTGATCATTTCCGAACTCTTCCTGTGGTTTCTTAGTTGGTCCGATCATGCTGAAGTTTTTTATGGGATCGGAGACAAGGCGCTTTTTCAGCGTTTGAAAGGGGCAAGGAATTTCGTTCAACCTTCCTCGATTTGTGC